CTTATTATGTGCAAAGACAACAATGAAATGGTCCCTGATTTCCAGAAATATTTAACTGCGAAGTTAATTATAACATGTACAAAGATAAGAAAATACAAAGTAACATAACATAATCTCAAGAGATAGAAAGTCCCGGGGTGGGAGTGGGTGGGGTCAGGGAAGGGGAGATCAGAAAAGGTGTCAAGGAGGAGGAGGCACCTGAACTGTGCTTTGAAGGAAGATCGGGGTGGGGGAGTGAGGTAAGGAAGGAGTGCATTCCAGACATGAGGAACAACTATACAAAGACACAGAGGTGAAAGATGAAATGTCATTTTGGGGGAACCAGCAGGCTGGTTTAATTAGAATGGAGAGTACATGAAGTGTAGTAGTTTGAAATAAGGCTGGAAAGGTAGGTGAGAACTAACTTGTGAAGGACTTAAAATACCAGGTTGGGATTTTTGTCTTTTATCCTAGAGGCAATAGGGAGCTACTGAAGATTTTTGAGTAGGGGAGTGACATAGTCAAGTCTATGTTTTATCAATATCAATTTGGTAGCTATGTGGAGGATGTGATTAAGCAGGGGAGAGACTGGAGGCAGAGAGATCCATTAGGAGACTATTACAATAGTATAGATAAGAGACAATAAGCGCCTGCATTTGGTGGTGTAGCTACAGAGAAGAGGGTGATTTGAGAGATTTTGTAGAGGTAGACATGAAAAACCTTATCAAATGATTAAATAGGAGTGAAAAGGATTAGAGGGATACCAAGGGAATCAGCCCCAGAAAAGTCACCTTAAAGACAATACTGGATTAGCTACACTGAAGAAATAATTCTCTAACAATTTTTTTTTGGTGAGGCAATTGGGGTTAAGTGGCTTGCCCAGAGTCACGTAGCTAATTAAGTGTTATATGTCTGAGGCCGAATTTGAACTCAGGTCCTCCTGACTCCAGGGCCAGTGTTCTATCCACTGCACCACCTAGCTGTCCCAACAAGTAATATTCTTAAAGATGAGGGTAGGCCCAGAATTCCTAAAAGGATATAGCTATTCTTGTCATTAAACCTGAGCTATTTATATAGAAACTAACTCTCACAAACTATCTAACAACTTAAAAGCAGAGATTTAGTCATCTTTTTGCTTTCTCTCTCCCTACTCACTCTTCTAAAAACTTTTCTTCTTTATTTCTTCTTTCTCCTCACTTTTTTATGCTTCCTTTTTTCCTCTATCCTTCTCTATTTGCCCTTTTCTTCCTTTTTATTTTAATTATTTTACTTTTATTAAATTGTAAGCACTTTGGGAATAGATTCTGTTTCAAATAGAACTTAGTCTCCCCTGCACTCATGGGAGTGACTTGCAGGAGGAAGTAGGTGTTTAATAAACGGGTGCTGAACTGAACTGAATTAAGCAGCATGGTTATGTTGGAAAGAACTCTTCTAATTGAAGAATTTGTAAGTGGATCCCACTTCTGCTACTTTCTACCTCTGTGATCTTGGACAAATCTCTTTACCTCTTTGGGTCTTATTCTTATTCATACTGTGGAATTAAGACTGATCAGGTTGGTATAGATGATAATCAAGGTCCCTTTTCATTTCTAGATCATCATTAATCATTTACTGAAAACAACCCATCTTCTAGGATGTCAAAGAATAAAAAGGGTTGGGAAACATTGCACTAGAATATACTACCTTAATAAGTTTTATGGCAATTTTTTCTTTCTTTTCTGTTCAGGGGGTATAGAACAGTCATTTTTTTATCATAGTATTTTTTTTTTTGCAAATGCATCTTAACAAATAAAAATTGTTATGTGATTTTGATGACACAGTTTAGGGAATGTGTTGCTACCCAACCTGGTGATGAGTTCATCTGGGGATGTAGCACACCAATGAGGAGGTTGAGATACAAGAAAGGGAAAATACTGAAAGAGAGGAAAGATATGGCAGCTGAGACTGAGCAACCCAAGTGTCCCCTTCCAGCTCCTTATCTGGGTTAGACTTTAGATAAGTAGCCTACTCTAGGGGGCATTTTAAGATGATGGCAGACTAGGTAAGGCCTTCTGCAGAAGGTGGGATTTGAGCTGATTCTTGAAGGAAGTCAGGAAGCTAGGAGAAGCTAGGAGGCTGAGCAGAGGAAATATGTATTCCAGACATGCAGAACAGCCAGTGTACTGAGGAGATGGAGTGTTGTCAGTCAATGAGCATTTTTTGAGCTCTTACTATGTACCAGATACAGTGTGGTGCTGAGGATACCAAGAATGGTAAAAGATGGTCCCTATCTGAAGGAGCTCTTGTACAAGGTCACGGCGGAGACAATATGCAAATAACTGTATATACAAGATATACACAAGATAAACTAAAAACAATCAACAAAGGATTATGGGAGATCAGGAAAGGCTTCTTGTAGAAGGTAGTATTCTAGCTGAGACTTGAAGGAAGCTAGTAAAAAAATAAGCAGGCCAGTGGAGAAGCATCATAGGGATCAAAGAGGAGACAAACTGAAAGACTACTAGAAATGTAGGAAGGGACTAGGTTGTAAAAGGCTTTAAACGCCAAAGAGAGGATTTTGTATTTGACCTTGAAATTAAGAGAGGTTGGTTCTCATCAGCTCCTACATTAGGACAGGTTCTGATGTCAATCAAAAGATGTATGTGTTCAACAATCTGGTCTTTCCAATAGTTTTTCCTATTTTCTAGCCACTCGCCTTCCTTCCAGTTTCTTGTACACTGTTTTTTAGATCACTTCTATCCTGTTCCTTATTTTAGAAAGTATTAGCGTGGTAAAGAAAACTTAAACATACTAATAATATGGGAACATTAATCGTTTAGTTTATTGAGTTGGTTGGTGACATAATCAGATCTATGCTTTAGGAAACTCAATTTGGAAGTTGAGAGGAGAATGGATTGTGGTGGAGAATAGGCACAGATATCACTTTGAAGGTTATTAAAATAGTCCTGGCAAGAGGTAAGGAGAGCCTGGACTAATATGGTGGCTGTGTGAGTGGACAGAAATGGATCTATATCAGTGACACTGTGAAGGTAGAAAAGATGAGGCTTGATAACAGCAGATATGAGGGATAAGTGTGAGCCAGGAGTTGAGAAAGATACCCTAAGATGCAAGCCTGGGTGACTGGAAGAAAGGTGGTGCCCTTGGAGAGAGCTGGAAAAAGGGGTTTGGAGGCAAAGGTATAAATAAATACTGGAACCTGACCCCAGGTTGGGGAGATGAGCCAAAAAGTGAAGGAAGGTGATACTGATGTTGGCCACTTTTCCTTCACACCCGCTAATGCAGCAGCACATAAGAGAAACCCTGAGGCACTCCTGTGCTCAGGTAACAAGGCAGCTAAAGGATTGCTCTTGGTCATGAGCAAATTGCTTTTTGTAAAGCTCCAGATACAAGAGGCTAAAAACTGCATCTCCAGCTTCTTTGTCTTCCATGATGCATAGAGGGGGTGGAATGGGCTAAATCAAAGTCACAGTCTGGAATAGTCATGATTAATGTTCTGATATCAGTATGTTTATGGTTCCTTTACCACTCTAACTAAATACTTTCTAGAATAATGAACTTGATAGAGGTGACCTGAATAAAAGCAAGCAAGGGACTGGAAGGTGAGTGGCTAGTAAGAATTGGGGGTGGGGGCACATTGGAGAGATTTGATTGGTGGATACATACACCTAATGGACATCAGAATCCATCCTAATGTAGGAGTCCATGACAACCCAGAGTCCTCAGGGTCCTGAACAAGAAGACTAGGCAACTTGACAAATACCCACAGCGCCCCCTGGTGACTAAAAAAAAGCAGTAATAGTCTACTCCAAATTCTCCTAGTTTAACAGCTGTTACAGAAACTCATCAGCACTGTTCTGCTTTTCAAAGTACATTGAAGTATGGTAAAAGATGACTTGAAACTTCCATTATGTTGTAATTATGAATATGCCTTTGAAAGAAAAAAATGACTAAATAAAATAAATTTAAAATAAAAAATTAAAATAAATTTATGGTGGACTAACTAAAAACAAATTCAGTATTCCAAAGAATGGTTCTTCTATAGCAATTTATAATTTTCAAAGTATTTTCCATGAAGGAGTTTGTACAAGTTACATCACACCCATTTTGTATCAGATTGCTTGCCTTCTCAATGGAAGGGAGAGTGGCTGAAGGGAGAGAATTTGGAGTTCAATTTTTTTAAATGAACATTGAAAATAAATACCTTTTAAAATATTATACCCATTTTATACATGAAGAAGTAGACAGTTACAATGCTCATAAGTAACAGAACCAAATCTTAGACTCACATCTTATATTCAATTCAGTGCTCTGCCTAATATACCATGCTGCCTCTTATAACCAGCAACAGGAAACCAGACAGGTAGGACACTGGATCAACAGTCTGTGAAATATATCCAAATACTAAGACTCTTAGAAGGTATTACATTTCATTTATATGTCTTAATCCTATTTCAAAGTGCTCACTGCCTATGCTTTTTCTTTTACTAAAGGTGGGCATTTTAAAGTGTGAAATTCTACATGAAATGATACAAACATGAAAAAAAGCATGTACCAATAATGTAAATATGTTTGTTTTCCACACTAGACTATATATCTTTATTTTAACAAATCTTCTTTTATAAGTTCTTTTATCTATAGGGTTCTTTTGACTTCCATATCTTTTCCTGTGACTCAATTGTCAAGCACTGTGTAGAAATACTATTTGAATGGGATATGAAGTACATTACTCTGAGTGACACTCTCAAACTAACTTATTGGCATTTCCAATAAAATTCCACTGGCATACAAGATATTAGAATTTCACTTAACGAAAATTCTTACAGCATGCCAATAGACCTTTGCAAATGCTTGATGGGTGGGGGTTAAAACATTTCAAGTTATTTCCAAAGCAAACTTTGACTATTAAAGTTTCTAAAAATCCTACATTATTTTTTCTTATCAAAAGTATACTGCTAAAAACTTAAATACCAAAGAACCAATTTTCCCAACAAGGCTCCCCCCCAAATCTTTTTAAAAATTACCTGTTCTTAAGCAGTGCCCTGAAGGTCGTCTTATTCAGTCCCAGATAACTTGGCAGCAAGTTTGACCAATTCCAGTCCCATTTAGTTATGGCTGACTGTTGACATATGAGAAGAAGCTATTGTTAGTTATTAATCAGAGTTAATACGATCAGTAAATTAAAGCTCCAGCTGTGATAGACTAACTAAGAAGGAGGGGGGTCTAGAACAAGGACTTAGACAGATGATATCAGTCATGCCCACAGAAGAAGGTTTTTATTCTGATAAGACAGCAATTAATTTATAAATCCATTTGAGGATGTAGCCATTATTTATGAAAAGATAAATCAATTTTTGAGTCGTTATTCTTCCAACTGTTAATGGCATTTTGCCCAACTACTTTCTCTGAAAGGTTGACTCTTGAAAAGCAAAATAATTGGCAACTTTTAATGTATCCTTCCAATTTACAATTTTTTTTGGTGTCAGCAATAAGTTTTATCAAGAAAAACTTGAAGTAGTTAGAAATCTGGCTTTATGCTATATCTTAATTAGTGTGCCATATTAGTAGTGTCTATTTTGCAAAAGGAAATACAGTAAACAGATGGTTACAAAAATAAGAATATAATTCCCTTTAAAAATTTATTAGATAATCTGAAATCCAAGTATAGAGACAAATGACTGTAAAATAGCTTTGCAAAAAGATAAAAGTTATTGTTTATTTAAATGAAGAAATAATTTAATGGTTAAGATTATTTTAGGCGATCTGAAATACAACAGACTGAGGTATCAAGTCAATTTATACAGATAGAATGTGTTTGGTTTCCCACTACTATAGTAGCTCTCTGCTCTAGAAAACCAAATAGTTCTGATAATAATACCAGTTGAGGCCAGTTTGTAGACTCCAACGAGAGCTACCCCTTGTCCCCTGCTGATTAATCGAGCCCTACAATCCTGTCACACAGTAGAAGAATTCTGCCCTGAGTTGTCAGCCTCTGAAGGTCTTATTCTACAGTTTTGATGAATGCAGGCTAGAGCTGTAACAGGCATGATAAAAATATTATCTGCATCCCAAATTAGGGCAATGTTTTGAATTTTTTTCATTAGAGCTCTAGGTCAAGCAATCCTTTTTTTCTGTCATGCCAGTTCAAATGATTTGTCAAGAGATTTTCAAAAAGAGATACCTAAATTGTGAATTAAGCTGGAATCAAAATTGCCATCATATTTCTGCCATTTTTTTTTGCATTTTGGGTTATGATTTTAATATAACTACTGACTGTGTGGTTTAAATAATCTTTATGAGATGGTGTAATTAACTATGTACTTAAACATACATTGTTTTCAACATTGAGTTTTTTTAAGTAAATTCATTCATTTTAAATGATCAGTTATGTAAATAATGTCTATGCCAAATTCTATGATATACTTTCAAGAAGATTGCTAAGATTATTTTTAAACATATGTAAAACTATATACTGTCTACTAAAAATGAATAATTCAGTCATTTACAAGACACCAATGATTTAAAAGGATTGGCTTGATTTTATGGCCGAACTGAAGTTCCTGGGCCAGTCAACAGTCAATTAATAAACATTTATTAAGCACAGACTAGGTGTTAAGCACAGTGCAAAGCACTGGGGATACAAAAAGGGACAAAAGATTATCTCTGCCTTCAAGGAACTCACAATCTAATGGGAAAGACAAAATCAAACAAATAAGTACAAAGAAGCTACACAAACACACACACATATGAAATACTTAACAGAAGGAAGGCTTCTTATACCAATGAAATAGCATGGGGGGAATGAATATATAATTTTAATTTTCAAAGATGGCATAGATGGCTTGCAATGTGCATTGCTGGAGATAGCACCCCACATACATGTGGTCACAGATCCACTAAAATATTTAATTATCATTTTAATCTTCATTTCTCTTCATTGCCAGACCCTTGCACATAATAGGTGCATGCCAAATCTTTGTTGAATGACAATTACTCTCCACATACCTGATCCAGCATTTTTTCACTAAACCACTTATACACCTGAAAAGGGTTAAAGGCAGGAGGCTGCTTTTCCAGGCTCTTCAAGGTCACTTTTAAAGGTCTGGTGGGTAATGTGTTTTCCTCTGGTACATTCATCGAAAACAGCTGTTCTTTCAAATATTCCTTCAAGGGGGAAAAAAAAAAACAAATTTGCATGCTTATTACTCTATGTTCTCTTTAAAAGCAAGCTGATCAAAACCTGTATTTACTCTTTTCACACATTTCTCAGCATTCACTTGGTAGATTCCAATATGTTAATACCACAAGAGAGAATTCATTTTCAGAAGATGCAGCACTGATGAGGATTTATCATACTAAACAGCACCAATCAAAAATAACTGAGCCTAAAATGCTGTGCTGAGGGTCAATTACTAAATTTCATGAAATGAACTATTCAAAGTATTTGATTTCTTTAGATTCAATTGCACTTGAAGCTTTTCTAGGCTTTGTCTTATGGATTATATGGGGCAGATGTTCAATAGCCAACATTAGAACAATAGCTAAATAATCTAAGGAATGACTATTATGTGTTCATTTTTGTGGTAAGCGTTACTATATTTTTAATTATTTATTTTCAACATTCATGTAAAATTTTGAGTTCCAAATTCTCTCTCCCTTGAGCCCTTCCTCCATGTATTGAGAAGGCAAGCAATATATCAATTATATGTATGGAATCATGCATGACATATTGCAAAAAAAAAAAAGCAAGAAAAACAAAGTAGAAAAATTAGGCTTCAATTTGTACTCTGAGTTCATTAGTTCTCTCTGTGTAGGTGGGTAGCATTTTTCAACAAGAGTCTTTCCAATTGTCTAGAATCACCGTAGCCTAGTCTTTGCGATCATTGTGATCAGAGTAGCTGTCTTTCACAGTTGATTATTATTACAATATTGCTGATACTGTATATAGTCTTCTGGTTCTGCTCACTTCACTTTGCATCAATTCATTTAAGTCTTCCTCAGTTTTTCTGAAACTATTCCACCTTGTCATTTCTTACAACACAACAGTATTCCACCACAATTATATAGCACAACTTGTTCAATCACTCTCCAATTGATGGGCATCTCCTCAGTTTCCATTTTTTTTTACCACCACCAAAAGAGCTGCCACAAATATTTTTTGTACATAAAGGTTCTTTTTCTTTTATCTCTTTGGGATATAGACTTAATAGTGGAGTGATATTGCTGGGTGAGGGGATATGTACACTTCTATAACACTTTGGGCATAGTTTCAGATTGTTTTTCAGAATGGTTGGATCTGTTCATGACTCCACCATCAGTGCGTGGGTCCTTATTTTTCCACATATTCTCCAGCATGTCATTTGCCTTTTCTGTCATGTCAGCCAATCTGATAGGTGTGAGTTGGCACCTCAAATTTATTTTAATTTGCATTTCTCTTAAGAATTAAGTGATTTAAAGCATTTTCCATACAACTATAGATAGCTTTGATTTCTTCTTCTGAAAACTGCCTGTTTATATCCTTTAACCATTTCTCAATTAGGGAATGGCTCTTATGTTTATAAATTTGATTCAGTAACCTACATATTTGATAAGGCCTATATGAGAGAAACTTGTAAACTTTCCCCCTTAGTTTCCTGCTTTCCTTCTAATTTTGGCTGCACTGGTTTTGTTTGTACAAACCTTTTTTTTTTAATTTCATGTAATCAAAATAATCTATTACACTTCCCATGATCCTCTGTGCCTCTTGTTTGGTCATAAACTCTTCCCTTATCTATAGATATGACAAGTAAATTTTTCCATGTTCTCTTTATGTCTAAAACAAAACATTAATATTTTAATGGGAGTAGTGCACTATTTTTATGAAAGTAGTACTTTGATGCCTTATCACATCAAGGGTTTCTTAAAAGCTCATTGACCAAGGACCAACCTACCAAAGTCTAGACAACCTCTTTACCAGGTTGACCACAGAGTGATTAATTTTTTGACCACGGCAACTCTCAAAGATCATCTAACATTTTACAGAGTGATTATCCTCCATGTTAGTGAAGGGAGTACCCAGACCAAGGAAATGACAAATCCCTGAAGTACTGCCATCAGAATTTGCTCAAATTCTATATCATAAATGCTTTAAGCAGAACTAATTACAACAGACAATCCCAAAGCATATTTATATGTAGCAGACTGAAAAATACCAAGGTCTAGTACAAGTTCTAGGCAATGAATTCTAATCCTATAACTCACTGGTGGCATCAGGTAAATCAATTCATTTCATGGTACCAATCATTTTCATAAGTAATAGAGTAAAAAAGAAAAATCCTGATCCATTATACTGGCATGTTTCTCATAGAATCATAGCCTTCAGAGCTGAAAATGGCCTAGCCATCTTCCAGTCCAATGCCTCATTTTACAAATTAGGCCTAAAGAATAACTTGCTTCAGGTCACTTAAGTAGTGACAGTATCAGGATTAAAATCCAGCTTCAATTTCAGTGCTCTGAAGCATAATGAATAAAAACAAAACACGAACCAATATTTAGCAATACAAAATCAGATCATTTCATAACAAATGTATTTAAATATCTCTTTTCTGATTTATTAAAGTATATTTTTAACACTGTAGTATTTCCTAAGAGATTAATGAATTCATGGAATTTTAGCTTAGACCTTAGAGATAATCTAGTTTGCCACTTCTCCCATTTTACAGATGAGGTACCTGGGGATGAAAGAGATTAACTGACTCACCTGTCCAGAGTCCCACGGATGTTGATTTTCAGTAAAAACTATGATTTCTTGACTCTCTGGCCTAGGATGCTTTTCACTAATCTATGCTGTCTCTAATGCTTTGAAACTGTAGAATGCTGCATACTATTGCTCTGTACCTCAAAGTTCAGATTATAAATGTGCTAACAGAGAAATTTTAAGGGTCTCCAATAATTTGGAACATTTGGAAACTGCTACTTCAGCAAAGTGTGCAGTTCTTTCTTTTGGAGTTACCTCTCTTAGTACATAAAGGCTCTGAATAAAGAGTATATGATAACTAGCAACATAAGGGTTTCTTACTGGGAGAAAAAAGACTATTGAATGGGGACTAACTTTAATGTATCATGATTAAAGTAAAACAGAAAGATCCACCCTGAATCATTATTTCATTTTGCTTATAAAATCTGTCTATACATATTTTCTTTCTGAATTAATGAAATCTGGCTTCTGTCCCCACCAAAGAAAAGAGAAACTGTTTTGCTGAAAGTCAATTCAGTCAATTACTTCATTCTCTTAATCTCTTTGCTCCAGCATTCTCCTATCTTCAAGTATCACCACTCTGCTGATAACTGAGAAGTCTGTATCTGCAGTCCTGTTCTACTGCCTGAGCCTAGTCATATAAGACACACACACACACACACACACACACACACACACACACACATATGTATATACCTTTGTAATTGCCTGCTATATTTTTCCATCTGATTATATTTCTACAAGCTTAAATTCAGTAAATTCAAAACTGAATTTCTTATCTTCCAACTCATACCCATCATAAGTTACCTAACTCTCTCCATGGTAACATCATTTTCTCTTTTTCACTTCCAGTCACCAAACTGTTATTCAAATACAGTCTTTCCTCTCTACCTCTAGTGCCATCATGCTATGTTAGGTTCTCATCACCTAACACCTGGATTTTTGCAGCAAGCTTTTAGCTATCTTCTTTCATAATAGATTTTAGGTTTATTTTTTTCCCCCTGCCTCTCAGTTAATCCTGCAGTCTATCTGTTGTTATACTGATCTTTAAATAACATTTTCTAGTTCTGAAATGTTATTATTTTTTGTGTCATGCATTCGCTAAAACAAACAAACAAAAACAACCTGTTTTCATTTCTAAAGACTTCTTCCTTTGTTGAAGTTTTTATCACATCCTAGTGCCATATCAGCTACGTTAACTCATGTTCACTATTGACGCTACTGACTTCTTAGGACATAGATTTAGAGTTGGAAGGGACCTCAGAAGTCGTGTCCTCTCTCTTATTTTACAAAAAAGAAAAATGAGGCCTGGGGAGGTTAAGTGACTTCACACAGGGAGTAAGCAACAGAGGTAGCATTTGAATCCAGGATCTCTGATTCCAGAACCAGTATTCATTCCACTAAACACCCATTCTCTGCCTTTCCTCCTTGGTGGTCTTGCCCAAAGTGAGGAAGCATAGTATAAAGCATGGGAGTGTAATGCAGTGGAAAGAAAACTGAATTTGAAGTCAGAAATGCCATATAGGCAAACTAGGACATATACACACCAAACTTTTCAGATACTTATGAACATTTATATAGCATACATGTTTCACTAAAGTCCTCCAATAACAGATTATGGCATGAATGAGACCTTGGGTTCTTGAAGGCTGTGACAGTGTAGTACAAGTTCCGTCAGCTCCCCCAACCCTTAAGAGTTTGGAACATGAAACTAGCATGACATTACATGTCTGTCACCCAAGAACCAAGCTAGCTAAATCTGGAAAGCCAAATTGGTCACGTGAATTTTTTAGCTACAGCAACTCACAAACACAATCTACTAAGATATGATGTTAGGAAACCAAGACCTTTGAAAACACAGAATCATAAAGTGCAGCAGTATTAATGCACACGAACCTTCAAATATATGAGACACATTAAAGATAAAGACCACACAATTCAGATACACATGGCCAAATTTGAAATCTGTAATTATTTCAAGTAAATAATAATTGCATTGAGATATCTGCCATTATGTTTATTATTACTAAACACACCTTGGTTGACCTTGGCCTTTCTAAATCCCTTTTTGAGAAGGAAGGATGAACAACAGTAGCCTAGTAAGCCCATGGTCAGAGACCTCCTACAGCTGAGCTCTGGCTGACAAGCAGCACAAGATCAGTTTCAACCAGTGTTCATTCATTAGTGAATTCTAATTAGAGGACCTAGCTACTCCCCAAAATGAAAGCACTTAAAATAGCACAACATAACTTAACATTCTGAAATAGTAAACTATGTTTCAATCTTAAAAAAAAAAAAAAAAACAACCCACAATCTCATCACTAGAGTATTTTCTCCACTTAGGATAGCTATGCATTGCTTAAGAAAATTTCTCCTTGCACAAATTTCAGATTTTAGCACAGGAACAGTAAACTAAATTTGAAAAATAAATCTCCAGACTACACAATGCAGATCTGAATTGAGTTTATGAGCCATATTATTGTGCAAAGTATATAAATGAAATCTACATTGTTTCTGCACAGCTTTTTTCTTACACAAATGCAGACTTGCCTAAATGGAATAGTTTCTATTATAATGCAATATTGAGTTTAGTATTGACTTTAAGAAGCATTATCACCTCCTTGACTAACCCTTAGCTGCCAGCAGACGCTGCCTCAGGCCAGTACACACCTAATTGCTCGGTAAAAAGGCCGTTTCCTTACCTCATTGAGCTGGATGATGTGATAAATTTGCCTCAGGTACTCACTGCCACCTGGTTTGTGGCAGATATCCAGGACCATCATGTTTATTTTCTGCTCAGTCAATTCAAGAACAATACCTCCTTCTTCTAAGGCTGTGCCTTCTTCTACCATCGTAAGAACACTAGAATAAAGAAAATATGTTAATATCACTAATGAAGAATTGCCAAGATGAAAAAATGAGAGTCGATATAAATCAAGAGATTCAATATAAATCTAAGGTTTCAAGTATCTAGCCAGACAGCTTGAAGAGGTTAAAGCTTCCCAAAGTGTGACTGTTTACATGAACATTCTAAGGGCAAGCAAAAGAAAGCATTTTAGAAACTGAATAATTTTTTTAAATTATTGCTTTATTGCATCTATCTCCCATGCATCAATCATTTTCACATTATTGCAACTGTTGAAATTGCCATAATCGTAAGGTGAAAACATGAAGAAATTGTTTTACTTTCTCTTTGGAGATAGTATCTCTGATACCAGAAAGCCTTAGAATTCCACACTTTGTATATTCTTTCCTCTCTACCGTGACTGAACACATTTAAGTCTAATTAAAGTGTCTAACAGGGAATCCATTATACTAAATATATGTTAGGAGCTTTATAGCTGAATGCTTTACCACTTGGGTATTTAAAATTGACCTTTTGACACTTGTTGCCTTTGAAAAATGTATGCTCCTCTCTGGTTTCTTCTGTGTAAGACATCCATAGAATTAATAATAATGCGTATTTTTTCAAATGAGGATCAACTTCCACCTTCCTAAACACCACAAAGTGAGCACTAGTGTATTAAGTACAGTATTGAAATATATTGTTTTTATGGACATCCACTTATTTCTATTTCATTTAAAAATACACCCTCAACACATTTTTCCAACTACCTGGTAAAGGAAGACTCGAACACACTGAAAACCTGAAACCACAGGTTTCAAAAAGAAAAGAAATAGCTGATCCAGACCTGTACCTCATAAATTCAAATCTAATTTTCTTGCCTCATTTGTTATTGGGCTTGGGTTGAGCTTTAAAAAGCTAAGCATTCTCAAGGAAATCCATGATTTTCCATTGTTTTCCTGGCCTAAGTGAAATTTACTGTGGTGTAATCAGCTGTACACTATGGAGCTTGTTACTGAATTTGTGCTACGATTATAAAATTAGTTCAGCCCAGAGTTAGGGATGTTGACCTGAAGGTGCAGTCAAATGATACCCAGCTGCTGGGAGTTAAAGCTGCTATTACTTCCACGTGTAGCTTCAAAACATACTTGAGGATAAACAGTTTGAAAATTACATAAGCTGCAATGTCCTTTACTAAAAAGCAAAGGATGTTCCATTTTTACAGACAGTTTCCAATGAAAGACTTTTTTTAAAAAAATAGTAATAGTTTGAGAATATCCTTTTGAAACTGCATACAGGTTGCAAGCTAAATTTCTCACTGGGCTTCTTACAGGTTGACATTGGAAAAGCTGGGGCCCCCTGACAAAGGACTGTCTCAGTGTCAGCCCCCGAATTGTATCCTTTCTTGTCCATCACTGTGCAGGTGAAGCAGATGATTGGATTCAGTCAGTGCTATGATTAATGAGTTCCTCTCTGGATTTGGGACTGCCTATCAATCATGTCATTAGGGAGAATGTGCCCTGAAAGAGGCAGACCTCAGCCAAGGAATAACTGCATTCATCTTAATCTGTATATGCACCCAGCCAGCCAAGTCAGGGTCACCATGATGAAAAACAATAATCTTCAACTCGACAAATTACTTTGCAAAGACGGACATTTCTTTACTTTTTGGACTGTGTGTTCTCCAGAATCTAAGCTGACTGTTTACAGCTTGAGTGTTACTAGAAAGTGAAGGTTATTTTAATGAATAGTAATGCTTTCAGGCAGTATACAAGACAGGCAATGCATATAGCTGCCACCTTTTCCACTGCAGCTATTTTCACAATTTCCATAAAATCAAAGTTAAATCTGGGCACAATAACTGGGAAAAATCTAGTTAAGTGACATTATATCAATCAAATATAATAACCTGGATGGAAAACAAAATTATTTAATTGATCATAAGAAAAGCATTATTTGTTTTTGTTTTTATTATTATATCCCCATGTTTACTCTATGAATAGCAGTTACTATGTAGGATACTGTCTGTGGAGCTATATGTTGTGTGTTTTCCTTTATTGATATATTCATAGACTAATGTATCATTAAATTATGGGGGATACTTGGAAGTAGAAGTTCATTTGTACATCAGATAATCAGTCCAAAATCAAAGACCCGAAGAAACATTACTACAGAGCAAATAAAAAACATTTACAAATGGTCTGTTACCCAAAGCAAACTAAAAAATAGTCAAATTTAACATTTTCAAGGAAGTATAAGTAATTTTACAACTGGATAGCTGCGTATCACAGTTTATTTAATAAATAGTGTTAACGATTTAATTATTCAGAATCTTAGGAAAACACTAAAAAAAACCACCTGAAACAGAGGAGTTTCTATTTTTTTTTTTTGGATGTGCTATAAGGCCATTAAATATATCCTCTGGCTAATCACTAAGCAGCCAAATTAAAAAAAAAAAGTTTGCTGTCTCGAGTCAGATACCTTGACACCTTCCATAGGGGTGATAGTGTTTGTGAAACTGAATTAAAATTCAAATGTAAGGAAATAATGTCATAAGAGGACATTCCTGTGAATGGCTGTAGTCCCTTAGCAAGACAATGGCCTTAAACTGACATTGCTTAAAAAGGGATCCTTAAAAGCAGGCATATTATACATTTTACTATGTAACCATAATCAGAACTGCCATTTTTTTTTTTTTACTCTTCTGTTTTTCTCTTTATATCTACCACTATGGATAATGACACTTAGGTTTAATCTTTTAGACACTGAATGTGAGCTTGTAAATTGGTATTTAATACAAATGTAAAGATTAAGAAGGTCACTGTCAATGTTAATAAGCTATTACTTGACACCACCACTATTGTTACTCCCACCAATCCATCATTCCTAGAAACCAATTCCTACACCTTAGTGTGCCTGTACCAATAAAAATATCACATCTCATTGGGTAAAGTTAATCATACATTGTTACCAACAATAACCAAAGGTAACCAGTAAACACAAAGTGTCTACAAGTTATTATTTTTATAAATGGAACACATAACATCAGAAATAACTTCCACAAATATTAATGTTAACCTTTTTCCAACTCACTTTCTATGGTTTCATACAGGTTAGTGCTAGGGACATGTATAAAATTCATCCAAGTATGCTTTAGAAGAGCATCAGTACAAATTGGGGGTGGGTGAAGGCAGTTTTGTTTTTTGTACTCAACAGGTTTATTCAGTAGTAAGATCTCCTGGGCACTCATCCTGCATGCTTATTATTGGCAGGAATGTCATAATCTATATGTTGCAAAGCATTTTTCAGAAGTGAGACTTCCTGTCACATAATTCTAAAATGGAAGGTTACTTTTAATTCAAGAGAACTCTTTTTACATATTTAAATACGCCAAGCCGCCTTAAAAATCCTCACAATGGTATAAACCATTTAGCTTTGGTAGCAAATCTACGGGAAAGTTGATTTTTTTCATGCAGAAAGACAGATTCATCTATTGCACTAGTCTGATATGCCCAGTCTCCCTCTAGGACTCTCATGTTACCAGATGAAAAGTATTTTTTCCTTTAAATTGGAAGCAGAGAAAGCAAGAAAAGGTCCTTTATATCCATTGTCTTGTTAATTCAATCTCCACATCACAATTTATTTGGTAAACTGTTATTGTTGGCACAATGGAAAAGATCAAAATTGAATTCTCTGATTCTAGTTATCTATTTGCACAACGGAAAAGATCAAAACTGAATTCTCTGATTCTCTGAATTCTCCCCAGTAATCTCCCAGTCTACCTTTTAAATCAGAAGTCTTAAGGTGATGACTAAACAAGCCTCTTGTTTCAGTGTATCAGCGGTATTTCAAATTTTAAGGCAAGGTCTTTCTATCAATCTAGTTTTTAAGGAATAGCTTATCTTTTCTTTGCTGAACAAAATTACCCAAGTGAAAAACTAAATTAGAAAAATTACTGTTCCTGCCCACGTGACCACAGTTTTTGTTTGTTTGTAAGCTCCCATTGTGAATGTGTTTGAATAAGCCCACTGAAAGAAAAACATCATTTGAAAATATCACATGCTGCTTACCATTCTGTGCTCAATTTTCTTGCTTTCAGCAACTGGCTTTCAATCCAGTTTGGTTTTTGCTGCTCAATTCTGTGTATAACCCGCTGGGTCACTTGATTAGGGCTACTTTTCTGCTTTCCCATAATGCTTTCTAAACACACACAAACTAAACCAAGTTTCTCTTTACTCCAACTGCCAAGCAAGGCACCCGTTAAAAATTCCAAGGTGTTTCCATCCTCAACTATCCGACATATAATTACAATCAGGTTCCAGACAAGCAGACCAGTTTTCTTCAATTCAACAAAGTTTTTTGACATTTTTCTCTCAGACAGAAAAAAGAAGTACTTAATTGGGGGAGGCAAACATGCAATCACGGTGGGTAACTCGCTGATTACAATAGACACCGCCTGAGCTGCAAACCTTGTGAAGCCTGGGGAAAAGAAAGGAAGCAAAGGCATGATTAACACTAACATTCTACTTCTATCACTGTGCTGTTTGGAGTATTGTATGGGGGGATGTCTAATTTTTGTGGAGAAAATTGTTGGGAAGATAAAGTGCTTGACATCTTCAGACAGTAGGTACTCTTACCTGGTCCTCTACTGTACTATACCATGTTTCATTCCAAGAATTTAGATTTAAGCAACTCCCATTTGTTCTTGAACAAAGAAAGGCATGAAAATTTGGAATTAAGGCTTTTGCTTTGAGCCACATTATTAAGGTCCCCAATGACTCCCAACAACAAATTCAATGATTTTCCTTAGTTTTCATTCTTACTGATTGATCTGTCTCAACATGCGGCAGTGTTGACCACCTTACTGGTCTCTAGATGCCTACAATACTATCCTATTCTGGATTACTTCCTATCCCTATAACTATTTTTCTTTGCCATTTCCTCTTCCTTGCAACACCCCGAACTCCACCCACAGATTTCCTTCTCATACTTACCCAGTTCTTAACCTTAAATTTCTCTCCCTAAAGTCATTTCCTTAAAGATCTCAGTCTTCATCACAAATGTAACCGTCACCTGAGCTGACGACTCCCAAAGTTTGGCCCAAATCCCTTTCCTAATCATCTTCAACTTCCTACTGAATACTTCTATTTGAATGACCTTAAAGATTCAACATATCTTAAAGTAAGTTCATGAACTTCCCCCCAAAACCAGCTACCCTAGGCCTTTTGACCCCTCCTTCCTTCTCTGCCCCACACCTCACCATCCAATCAATCAGCATGCCCTTCACTTGTCCTTTTGTAAATGTCCTTTCTTTTCCATTCATAACACTGCCACTCTAGTTCTGGCTCTCGTCTATTGCTAATATTATTACAATTTTTCTTAACCAGTCTCCTTTCTTCACTCTCTACCCCTTCCAATTCATTATAATCTAGGTTAATCTTCATAAACAACCCCTTCTATTATATCACTATCTGCCTCAAAATAATAATTGGCACCTGCAGTGTCCCCTACTTAGCCTTGAATTCAAAGTGCTTCACAATCAGCATTAACCTTCCTTTCCAATCTCATTTTCTAATTTCCCCTACATGAATTTTGTTTCAAATTGTCCACAGAATGCTCCTTGTTCTTTCCCCCACTGCGCTTCTGCCCACATTGCTCCCCCTACATGTAACATCATGTCCCCCCCTCTGAACCTAACTAAATCTTACTTATTTTTTCCAATTCAAGCCACTCTGTCATGAAAACTATCTAAGCCATTCCATGCCATAGAGGTCTGTCCTTCTGAACTCATTGACTTTATTCACTATAATCACTCATTTGCAATTCAACACATACTGACTTGTGACTAATCTTACATTCTTGCCTTGCAGTATTATCTACCTGCATGTGCATCTTAAGACTGTTTTATATCTTGCCATGCCTATGTCAGCACCTTGAATCTAAACTACATACTCAACAAATATTTGTTAATCTTGCTTGGTGAGCTCATCACCACTGATGGGTTCAATTATCATCTTTATGAAGATGATTTTCAAATTCATCTATTACCAGATCTAGTCTAATGACTTACAGTCATACATCACCCAGTTGCCTTTTGGACATCTTGAACTGTACATCCCATAAGCATCTCAAATTCAACATGCCTAAAACAGAGTTCATTATCTTTCCTCCAACCTTCACATCTCAATTGTGTATGTATATGTGTATCTCTCCTCTCCATTCACAATGCCACTATCCTGTTACGAGAAGTCATTAATTCTTACCTGGACTATTGCAATAGCCTTTGAATTGGTCTCTCTAGCTCAAGACTCTCCCCACTGCAATCTATCCTCCACTCTGCATGCCAAAATAATCTTCCTGAAGTGCAGCTCTGAGCATGCCATACCCTCTCCCCCATTCCCTAACCCTGATTCCCCTAATAAACTCAAGTCACTCTCTATTACTTTCAGGATCAAATAAACATTGTCAGTTTGGCATTTAAGCCCTTTACATATGATTATTTTCTATGTTTTCAGCCTTCTTAGAGTTTATTTCCCTCCATACTCTAAGAATCATCTACACTAGCCTCTTCGATCTTCTTTCTACAAAACACTCCAGTTCTGTCTCTTGCCTCTGTGCCTCTGCACTGGCCAATCCCCATGATTAGAATGCTCTATTTTACCACCTCTGTCTCTTGGCTTTCTTGAAGACCCAGCTCAAACCTCACCTTCTGCAAGAGGAGGCCTTTCCTGGTCCCACATTCCCTCAAGTGCCTAATCTCTGAGATTACCTTCTATCTACTCTGTCTCTCTCTCTCCATACACACACACACACACACACACACACACACACACACACACGTGTGTGTGTGTGTGTGTGTGTGTGTGTGTGTGTGTGTGTGTGTGTATGTCTTGTATGCATATAGTTATTTACATATCATTTCCCCCACTGGAATGTGAGCTCCTTGAGGGCAGAGACAGTCTTTCTGCCTTTCTTCATACCCCCTGTGCTTATTAGCACAGAGCCTGATGCATTAGTATGGAGGCAGCTACTCAGTGTAATGGATACAGTATTGGATCTAGAACTGGGAAGACTTGAATTCAAATCCAGACTCAGACATTTACCAGCTGTATAACTCTGGGCAAGTCACTCAAAGCGCTTTGCAAACTTTAAAGTGCAATACAAATTCTAGCCATTATAATTATTAACAAGTGCTGATTGACTTAATTGAATTTGTACGTGAAATCTGATTTAATTCAACAGCCATTAATTCGCTACTATCTGAAAAGCACTGGGCTGAGCACTGAGGATACAAACCAACATATAGCTGTCTTGAAGGAGATTATATTCTCCTGGAACAAATGGATTCAAAGCAATTAGATTTAGAAGAATAAAAAGGCATTATATAAACTCAAGATACTGATTTTGCTTTTATAATAGTAAACAAAATATACCAATATCAATAATAAAATACAGCAAAGAGATTTTGAGAGATATTTGTAACATTTAATTATCAAGTTTTTCCTCCATTCCAAAAGGTGCAAACCCCTCCAAGAGGGACACATTTTATGTGACATTTTATCACACATTCCACTCCTGAGGTAATCTATTCAAAAAGCATTAAGAACTGGAAGAATTCTTATGAATGTGTGAAATTTGGTTCCAAAATAGATGAAAAAAAATCTATTTAAGTAAGGGCTAGAAACTATAAGAAAGGTTACTTTATTAATTTATTGCTTTGTGACATCTTCTCTTTTTAAGTGTTTTTAACAGTTTTTTCTTGTTAGGTAACTGTTTACATATTTATGTAAGTTCCTTATGCCTTTTGGCAACTCCTCTGTCCCTAGGGCCTACCAAAATGTCTGAAAAAGGTGTTCAGTAAGTATTTCTTGACTTGATTTTTAAAATTTACTTAGCCATAGAATGGGAAATGAATTCAAATCTATGCACAGATTGTTATTGGAAAAATTGTTGAGCACCACCGCCTGGATACTGAAAAGTCTTCTGAAACCTAATGTAAATGTCAACTGGAACATTTTCAAGGCTAAAGCCATGGGTGCACTGTATTCAGTGAAGCTCTAAGGGATTAAAAATGGCACTTTCTTGATAGTCCAGGGTGGAGAACCCCCAAAGGGAAGAGAGACCCAACTTCCTTGGAAACATGACTTCAGACTATAGCTTGGGAGGTGTTGGAGGATTCCCTATAACAAGAGTCTGTGTTAATGGTATTTGACTACCAGCAGGTATGTGGTAGAAAGCATGATAGAGTTATGGGGAATTTATAGCTTGCTGTATGTTTACTGTGACTGACTAATTAGCTATATGCTACATTCTGGAACAGTGCAAGTTTCAAGGAAAAGTGTAGCCTTAGACAGAAAACCCTAACAATCCTCTTGACCATAATGCAGAATTCCCAACTCACTGGTCAAGTCAGTGGCTAATTCAGGGTTATAAGAATGTGTTAGTGGTCCTCTTACATAGAAGTCTTCACCTTTTGGACTAGGAAGATATAGCCTACAGTGATGGAAGAGACAAATAACTGCTGAAGTGTCTATCAAGATTAATTTCAGGCTGTTCTTTGATTTTGTTTTTCTAAAAGGTGATAGGGGCAGGAATGAATTCAGAACTGGATTGATAAAGTAGGAAGGAAGAACATGGAGAGTAATAAGAGTTTGAGAACCACTTATAAAATAGCATTGCACATGTGATTTAATGGGTCAAAATAACCATGACTTCAGGAAAAGTACAAGATATATAAAATGCCCCAAAGACAGAATGAAAGAAAGATAGCAACAACTTTCAGCAAGGTAGAATTTTAGTAAATTTAGAAAATTTGACAGTTTCTGATTTCAATTAAATGGCTTTACAAGATTCAAGGGCAATTTCATAGTCCTTGGATGGAATAAAAGCATTGATATAAAAGGTCACAGATGAAAAAACTTGATTTGTGTTTGTAACGTAAGGTCATAGTGAGAGAACTACCTACTATTCAAGATATACACAGAGAATAACTAAAGAAACATGTGTTGCCAGAGTATTTGATATCAGAAAACTAAGGGTAAATTAGATGAGAAAAATTTATTTGAATAATTAATATATAAGGAAAAGATTTTATTGTGAAATTTCAAAAGAAGATCCATGTATGTGGATATCTTCTAAAAAAGAGCAAAAGGAGGCAATGTGAAAAATCTAAAAAAGTAAAAACGAGTAAGGAAGGAATAATTTAGAATGAATAACTAGAAAGGAAAAGTTTGGAACTGATAATGAGACCAATGAAAATAATAATAGTTCACTTTTTTAAAAATAGCACTTTTAAGAATGAGGAAATGGAGGCTCAGAGAGGTTCAGGCACATAGACTCTAGAGTCACATAACAAGTATATACTTAAGAAAGGATTTGGAACAGAGTCTTTATAATTCCTGTCTAATATTCAAGCCACTGTACCATATTGCTTCATGTGCATTCAAATAAATGTATTCAGGAATATACCAAAATCAATGCTCATTAAACACATCTGAGGTAGTTAATGCTCGAAAAAGGCATAATATGTGTTGTTCTGAACGATTTGCATTAGGAGAGAATACTCTGTCAAAAGTATATGTGCAATGATTGGGTTATGTGCTGTTTTTTGTCCCTAAGACAGCTAGTACAGACTTGCAATGTGATTCAGAAAAAAATAAGGGAAAGAAAATATAAGCTAAATTTCAGATCAATCTTGGTAGTAAGGATTTTATGTTATACAATAGCCTCCTAAGGGAATTAGTTAGAATTGCATCTTGTGTTGTTTATTCGTTTCAGTCGTGTCTAACTCTTCCTGTTCCCATTTGGAGTTTTCTTGGCAAAGATACTGCAGTGGTTTGCCATTTTCTTCTCCAGCTCATTTTACAGATGAGGAAACTGAGGCAAACAGGGTGAAGTGTAGAGTTGCCCAAAGTCACACAGCTAGGAAGTATCTGAGGCCAGATCTGAACTCAGAAGATGAGTCCTCCTTACTCTGGCACTTTATCCACTGCTCCACCTAGACGCCCTAGAACTGCATAACATGTTGGTAAAACTAGGGTGGTTAAAAAAAAAAAAAAGATGACACGGCATACCGTAGGAAGAAATGCTAAACTGGCTGTCAGATGTAGAACGTGTTTCACGGCTATTGTCATTTCTAGTTTCTTTCATCATATGACTCATAGTAAAGAAAATGAAAGCACTTAAATATTTTGCTGTGTTTCAGAAATCTTATATTCATTTTAAGGTCATGCTCCTTAATGATTCTAATTCTTCATGATTTATAAAACTAAACACAATAGGAAATAATTTTCTTTGTCTGCTGCTGCTGTTTTTTTTTTCCTAATTTTTTTGGGGGATGAGGCAGTTGGGGTTAAGTGACTTGCCCTGGGTAACACAGTTAGTGAGCATCACATGTCTGAGGCCAAATATGAACCCAGGTTCTCCTAACTCTAGAGCCAGTGCTCTATCCACTGCACCGTCTAGCTGCCTCACGCTGTTGTTTTAATGTGAGGGGACACCTACTTACCTTTCCCCAATTCTTTTCTTTTCATTTCTTTTGGACTATAACTCCATTCCTTTGGAATTGTCTTAAGTAAACTTTCAGGAAAAGTTTGTTTGTGTGGGTATGCTCCATAGCTTCCTGTTGCTTCCCAAGAAGTCATCAATGAAGTTATTTGCTTTATGATGCTCTTGACCGCCTCAGTCAATGCCAGCTTCAAGCATTTAATGATCACTGGTTCAGACTCCATGTTACTTCTAGCTGCAAATCCAGAGGGAAAAAAACCATAGAGATGGAAGCGAATGTTGTAATCACTTGTACCTTTTTTGGGCAAGAACAACAGTAGAGAAGAGGAATTCACAACTTAAAATCATATAGCTGGGAGATCCAAAATAAGAGGTGGGGGAAAATGACTCGAATATCAAAGATCATACTACAAAAAACAAACAAACAAAAACAAACAAAAACTAGGAGCAGCAGATCACATTCCTTTTATAGCTTGTGTGTAGGGGATGTATTCTTAACCAAACAAGGGACAGATGAAATTACAAAGGATAAAACAAATAACTTCAATTATTTGAAAATGAAAAATTTCCATACAGAATGAATGTATTTAATATGAGAAGGAAAGTGGTTGATAAAAAAAAAAAAAGAACAACAAAAGCAAAAATTCTGTAGCAAATTTCTCTGATAAAGGTTTGATATCCAAGATACATAGACAATTAAAAGAAAAATAAAAGACCAAAAAGCATTCTTAAATAGAGAAGTGCCCAATAGATATGGACAAAAAAATTCACAAAAGAATTACAAATTATAAACAACCAAACTTCAAATCACTAATAATAGTAGAAATGCAATTCAAAACCAGCCTGAGGTTTCACCTCAAAACCAGAAAATTGGGAAAGATGACAAAGATATACAGTCAATGTTGGAGGGATTATGGAAAGACAGGCACATTGTCTGATCTCCAGACTTTGGAGGGCTGAGGAGGTGTGAGGTAAGGCCCCAAATCTGCCCATCATCAGGGTTTTATAACACATGGTATGTGTCTCATCTCTTGCCTCCAGCCTAATCTCCAACCTCTGTTGGGAAGACAAGTGACATCCTCCACTCAATGATGAACATTCTCACACCTGGTCATACCCTTCATATCCCAGTGACTCTGAACTCCTGTAGATGATTAGCCAAACTCCATCCTCCAACCCCCACCACCAGATTCTTCATTCTCATCTCCCTCAACATTCTCACCTCAAATTCTCAACCAAACTCCAACCAGCCCTTCCACTATACCTTCTGGAATGCCTCTTCCACAGGCAACACACTTCCCTTTATCTTAAATCTTTTCCTCTCCCACTCTATCTACTAGCTATTACTAAAAACTGGCTCCCCTCTGAGGACACAGGCTCTTTGGCCACCCAGTACATTTCCAGTACTAGCTTCACCCTCACTCATTCTCTTCAACAAATTGAGGCGGGGCAATGGAATACTCTTTGCTCATTACCACTCATCGCTACTTCCAGGTTCTCCTCCTACTTCTATCAATCTATTCCTTTGAAGTTCATGCTATTCATATCTACCACCCAAACAAAATCCTGGTAGCTGTTTGGAAGAGTAGAGGTGATAGAAGGGGCAATCTATTGGAAGAGATGGGATAAAATGGGATTTCTTGAACAAATAGAAGGGTTAGCCTTGGTAAGGAGTAAGGCTACACCATCATGTGAGACAAGAATTCCAAAATCCTCTAATCTGACAATAATCCATTGGCTTTTCATCTCTCCCTCTCCCTTCCCTTATAAAACCTTGCTCTTTATCCATACCATTACCTCTCAATTCTCTCTCAGTTAATCTCACCTGAATTAGCCATTCTTCCCACCTTGACCCCTTGGTGAACCAATTCAACCTTACTGTCCTTCACACTCGAATCCCTAGCCCACCTATCATATCACCAATATTGCCCAGGCAATCCTAGACCTTAGCTCACTCCCAGCACCCTCTGCCTTTGCTCCTACACACATGCTGCTGAATGAAGATGTTCTGATTGGGTCTACTACAAATTTATTTACAATCTCAACTAAGCCCTCACTGCTGCCCCTTAACAATTAACTATCCTACTCTCCTTAGCAACTCTTCCAAACCTTTTTATCCCTCAAATCTGCCATGGCTCCCCCTCCCCAAATTCTCTTAGCTAAGAATTCTGCTTCACATTTTACAGAAAACATTGAGGCCATTTTCTGTGAATTACCTGTTCTCCCCTCTTCCTCCTCTCCCACCACTCAGGTGCATTCTATCACTACTCTGTCTTCACCCCTGTCTCACATGATGACATGGCTGCACTGCTTACCAAAGCTAACCCTTCTACGTTCTCAAACAATGTCATTCCATCCCAACTACTCCAACAAACTGCCCCCTGCATCATCCCCACTCTTTCACATTTTCAAACTCTCCCTGTCTACTGGCTCATTCCCTACTGCCTACAAACATGCCCATGTCTTCACCACCTTGAAAAAACTCTCACTTGATCCTTCCATCCCTGCTAATTATCCTCATATATTTCTTCTGTTCTTTGTAGCTAAACACCAAAATGTCCTCTCTAATAGGTGCCTTCACTTTATTTCCTCTCACTGTCTTCTTAACTCTTTGTAATCCAGCTTCCAACCTTATCATTCCACTGAAACTGCACTCTTCAGTTACTAATGTTCTTTTAGTTGCCAAATCCAATGGCCTTTTCTCAATCCTCATTCTCCTTGACCTCTCTGCAGCATCTGATACTTTTGATCACTCTCCCTTCCTTCATATTTTCTTCTCCCTAGGTTTTTAGGATGCCACGCTCTTCTGATTCTCCTCCTACCTATCTGACCACTCCTTGTCTGTCTCCTTTGCTGGATCCTGCTCTAGATCATGCCCTCTAACTGTAGGTGTCCCTCAGAGTTCTGTCCTGGGCCCAGGTCTCTTGTCCCTCTTTACTACTTCATTTGGTGATCCTATCCATTACCATGGACTTAACGAACATGCTGATGATTTACAAATCTACCTATCTTACCCCAAACTCTCCACTGATGTCCAATCTTGAATCTCCAACTAGGTTTTAGATACTTCAAACTGAGTGTCCATTGACACCTTAAATTCAATTATGTCCAAAATAAAACTCATTATCTTTCCCTCTAACCTCCTCCCCACCTTCCCTCTTACTGTAGAGGGCAAGACCATTCTCCTAGTTGTCCAGCTCACAACCTAGGAGTCAGCCCAGATTCCTCACTCTCATTCCGCACATCCAATCTGTGGCCAAGATCTGTCAATTTCACCTTTGTAACATCTCTCGAATACACTCTCTTCTCTCCTCTGACACTGCCACCACTCTAGTGGTAAGGTAGGCCCTCATCACCCCACATCTGGACTATTGCAATAGCCTTCTGGTGGGTCAGCCTGCCTCAAGTCTCTTCCCACCACTCTAATCTATCCTCCATTCAGCCATTGAAGCATAGGTTTGCTTATATCACCCTCCTACTCAATAAACTCCAGTGGCTCCCTATTGCCTCCAGAAACATATAAAATGCTCCATTTGACATTCAAAGCCTTCATGACGTAGCCCCCTCCTTCCTGTCCAGCCTTTTTACACCTTACTCCCTTTGGTCCAGTGACACTGTCCTCCTGGATCTTCCATGAACAAAACACTCCATCTCTTGGTTCTGGGAATTTTTTTTGCTAGTTGTTCCCCATGCCTGGAATGCTCTCCCTCCTCTGCTCTTACTACTGCCTTCCCTGGCTTCCTTTAAGTCCTAACTAAAATCTTATCTTTTACTGGAAGCCTTCCTCAACCCCTCTTAATTCTAGCTCCTTCCCTCTGTTATTTATTTCCTATTTATCCGGCATATAGCTCATTTGTATATATGTGTTTGCATATTATCTCCCTCATTAGACTGTAAGCTCCTTGAAGGCAAGGAAGGTTTTTTGCCTCTTTTTGTATCCCCAGTGCTTAGCACAGTGCCTGGCACATAGCAGTACTTATTACATGTTTATTGATTAATTGATTAACGCATTGTTAGTGAAGCTATGAATTAGTATAACTATTCTGGAAAACAATTTGGAATTATGCAAATAAAATGGCTGAAATAGCCATACTCTTTGATCCAGAGATTACAATGAGTAATTATTAAGTATTATTATGCACTTACTATGTACAAAGAGGACATCTAGGTGGTGCAGTGGATAGAGCCTTGGGCCTGGAGACAGGAAGACTCATTTTTGTGATTCAAATCTCAGATACTGGGGCAACTAGGTGGCACAGTGGATAGAGCACTGACCTTAGATTCAGGAGGACCTGAGTTCAAATCCAGCCTCAGAAACATAACATTTACTGGCTGTGTGACCCTGGGTAAGTGACTTAACCCCACTGCCTAGTCAAAAAAGAAAAAAAAATAGAGAAAAAAATCTCAGATACTTATTAGCTGTGTCATTCTGGACAAGTCACTTAATCCTTTTTGCCTCAGTTCCTCATCTATAAAATGAACTGGAGAAGGAAACGGCAAACCACTGCAGCATCTTTGCCAAGAAAATCCCAAATGGGGTCATGGAAAGTTGGCTATGACTGAAACAACTGAACAATAAAATGTGCTAAGCACTGGAGATAAACATAGAAAAGACAGTCCCTGCTCTAAAGGCACTCACTTATTAATCAGAGAGACTGTACACATGTTATATTTTAACTGAAAGTCAAATGTAAAGGTTCCATGGTATTTTTACTGATAAAATCATATCAGATTCTGATGTTGAAATATTTGACTGTGTCAAAGACTTTGGTGGCAAGAACTCATTTTTCTGAGAGTAGAAGTAGCATGGCCAGGCTATGTCTCCACAGGGATTTCTTCTCAGGATACTGAGGGTACTGGGCTGGAAGCAGAGTTATATTCCAAAGGCTCTTGGGTTCAGGGTTGTGGGCTATGTGTATTAGGGTCTAAGGGGAGATGGTGATCAAGCTGATGGGAAAGGTTTTGACATGCTGTCTCTTAATGCTTCAACTAGGTTGGATTGCCTACCTTCTAATTGGTTGGCAGTTGGTAGAAATGGCTCGAGTAGCTTCCCCATGGAGTCCATTGAGAAAAAAAAAGAAATGTTCGCCAAAATATTTATAGCAGCACCTTTTGTGGTGGCAAAGAATTGGAAATAAAGTAGATGCCTATTGACTGGGAAATAGCCAGACAAATTGCTAATCAAACTAGGGTTGCATTTGAGAACAGAAGAGTAAGAAATCTTTCTCTTCAATT